TCATTTTCAATATATATATATATATATCCTTATTCTATGTTTTTTCTAATGCATTTAGTTACTATTGGACCAATTTAACTGAGGATTGGATCCACTTAGCATCTTTACAAAATTATAGAGATTGTTGGATTTAAGCTGAGTGTGTGGTAGCAGAACATTTTTGTTTTCTTTCCAAGGTGAATTGCAAGTCTTAGTTCAGAAATGGAATCCATGCTTTCTCACTTTTTATTTTGATAACTCTTTTTGTTAAAGGCTACTTTTGAAAAGTATGCTTTGATTTTATTTTTATCTGAAATTATGAATACAAAGTTTTTTTTTTTCCTTTTTTATTTTGATAAATTTATTTTTTGGTAAATATAAGAGGGAAACTGATCAGAAGAACAAATAGGATTTGATTACTTTTAGCAATTTCTCTTTTAAATGACTACCTTTGATACCCAGCAGTTATTGTGGTAGTTCAAAGGCAGTTGGTGGGGGATAATTTTTAAAAAATTGAGTAAAATAAAAAGTGGAAATGTGTGATCAGAGAGAGAGAGATAGTTACTGTTTTCTCTCTTTTTGTACATCTATTACTCAAATCATATGATGAAGAGTAAAATAAAAAGAAATAGAAGCATAAAAAACAAACGAATGATACATAGATGAACGAGAGAGATCAGGATAAGAGAAAGGTTGGTATAAAGAAAAATAAACATAAAGAGAGAGAGAGAGAGACATGTACACAGAGAGAAAACCATTAATTTTATGTTGGCTTAAAATGATCAAACTTGAGCAGCTGTTGAGATTAGAAAATTTTCTTTACTTTAAAATTAAAAAGCAAACCTGAACAAAGTATTATTCTATTTAAAGAAAAAATAACCTTGCTCAACTCACAAAACAAGTATTTTTAATTGCTTTAACAAAATACTAAGTATTTTATGAACTTTAAGGTTCTATTTAAAGTTAAAACAACAAACAAAAACAAAACATTAAAAAAATGTATTTCCTTAAATTTAAATAGCAAGGAAACAAAAGTGGAAAATATCTAGAAAATAAATTCTAGACAGTTCTGTAATGAATATACCATTTTAGTAAGATTTTAGAAATAGATTTATCTCATAATTACCATGTATTGAACTTGGAATTCTATGTTTATATAAAGAGTTAATGAAAGATATGTTATATAACACATTGGATTCATAATTTGATGCTATTGAGATTACGTCTATAGAACAAGCATGATTCTTCTTTATGTAATGAATTTAATTTGGAACACAATGCAGTTGAAGCAAGGTGAAACTTCCTTTAAAAGATGAGAACATTTAAAATGAAATGTGACAAAAACTGAAATGAATCAATAACAAAAATTTGATAAAGATCATGGAAGATAAGATTCAAACAATTACTTTCTTATTCTAGCAGTCTTTGAAGTTACAATAACATAAAAAGAAAGAAAAAAACCCTGGACAAATGGATTTCTTATGAATTTAAAAAAAAACCCAAAAAACTACTTTTTTTTTTTTTATTTTTGAAGTGTGCTTATACTTGTAAAAATAACATTTCATTTTTTAGAATGAATTAACTGTAATGAAAAGGGATCCTTTAAATAATTGCAAATATCTATCATGGTTATTTTTCTTTAGAATGTTTTACTTTCCTTGGAAAAATTTCAACATTTCATGTGCTGACCTATTATAAGCAATAATTAAAAAATACCCTCTTAAGTAGGCACCCGATGGGGTCGTCAGTGATGTTATTTGACTTGGTTCATCAGAGTGTTTCGGGTCTTTCAACATCATACTCCCCATCACCAAGTCGACCTAATCAGGGGAGATCAATCCCTGATCCCCCTTTTAGTCAAACGCTAACAACTACTCTGGCCTTTGAATGAATTAGACAAAGAAAGACCATTGGATATTTGTAACAACCAATCCGCTGCGCAAACTATCTTTTAAATGGTTCACGATGGGGACTGGCTTCTTTTCTTTTTTTTTGGTGGATAGCAGTTTCAATGGATAACCAAGGAGGTAACCTTAATGTTCCTAAATTTAACCCTTTTTCCTAAGTATTGTATAGTGTCTTATTCTAAATATTTGCCGTTTTTATTTTATTTGTGCTTTTTTTTTTTTTTTTGGAGGAGGGGAACTTAAACTCAAACCTACTATCACATTTTATCATTTAGCCTGATTCTTAACATTATTACAGGTCAGGTTTAAATGAATGTATTTGCAAAATGAAAATAATTGTCAATAAATATGCCGTATGTTTTGACTGTACACAATATTTCTCTTAAGATTGTAAATAATAATTGTGAAAAAAAAAATTAAAAAATGTAAGCCACCATTTGCACCTATCATTAAATAATCTTTGTCATTAATTTTTATTGATTATTTCTATTATCTATTTATAATATATTGGAATTGATTCCTAGAGTAAGGTTTTTTGTTTTTTAACATTACTCTAGTAATTAATTTTATAACTCAAAATGTTATAAAAAGTAGGTAATCTGTACAAATCCTGAGAGTGTATATACTGATTAGTAGAGCATCACCATGGTTGTTTACAGGTTTAAGTTTATTTTTAATCAAGGGACCAGAATGAAATTTTCTTTAAAGTATATTATAATATAAAAACTTGTTTCTTCAGAAATATGCAGACACCATTATTTGAAAGTTATCAAATATATCTTAAAGCAATTGTTGATAGAACTGAAGTTGAACATAGGTTTTTAGCTCACTAATTTGAAATTGTTTATATATATATATATATATATATATATATATATATATATATATATATATTGTGGTAGATGGACCTTTAATCAGACAATGATGCAGTAAAAAAGCTTTTTATTTCTCTTTTTCACAAAGGTGAATATGACAAAAGGTTGCTTTAATGTGGGGTTCCACATGTGTATGTTAGACTGGGGAATGTTTAGCCTTACCCTATATATCCTGAGCTGCAAAGTCATTAAAGGCAGCCTAAAACCTTTCTCTTTGAGTGCATCAGAATTACCAGATGCAACTGAAGACCAAACAACTGAAACATTGTGGATATTCAATTAGAATTTTGTTTTAATTACATTAGATGATCCTTTGATATTATCAATCCAATAACTATACAAAGGAAATGATAGGGAGCACTACTAGTGGCACAATAGATTCTCTTTTGTATTACTACATGTAGATACTTACAGGGTTCTGAGGATGAAACAACAGGAGAAGAGAAAAGAAAAAAAAATATATCCAAGACTAGCAATGACTTATTTTCCAAAGGAAGACATTTTGTTTATTTTTGAAACTTAAAGCAAAAACAACTATTCTGAAATTTTGCCACTTATTGATGACATCAAGATTTAATGTTCTTGGGTGAAATGGAATGTTTTAAGCAATTAACCAAAGACAAGTTTGAACAGCAGGAGGTAGGGTTTTAGGCTTTAGTAGAAGTAAACTAAGAAATAAGTATGCACTTACTGGGTGGTCAAATTGTTGACCAGAAAGAGCCCCCTACACACAAACACACAGTTGCTGAAAGTTCTCTGGCTTAACTGGGTGACCAAACACCAGCATTTCTTTGAGAACTTCATCACCCCCTTGTGTGTGAATATATATATATATATATATAGATATATAGAGAGAGAGAGAGAATAAAATTAGACATTAACTTAAGTGGAAACTTTTTGTATTCAGTGACTGAGCTGCCAGTGTTACTTTGAAATTTACAAAATGTCTATTAAAACATTTTTCAGGAAAATAGATTTCTCAAGTTTACTAATTGTTATTGATCTTTCCAGTATTAGTGGGCTTCCTTCCTTCCTAACATTTTGTTAAAAGTTTTGTGGAATATCAACCTCTTGATTGTCATTGTCAAGTTATCCATTTTAGTTGTTGTTACTGTTGAAAGTCCTCAAGTGATGTGGTTTCTCTTATTTGGTACAGTTCTTTGTTTATGATTCTGAATCACTAGTCCGTGAGACTTAAAGGATAGTCCCTGCTAAGATATACATGCTTCATTCACCGAAAGCTATTTTTAATCATTGATCTGAGTAATGTTTGTATACAGTTAACAGTTTAGATATTTCTGAAAATCACAATGTAAGATAGATTAGTGTGAAAAATAGTTATGAAACAATAGCCAAACTGAAGAATTCATTGGGAGATTTAATTGCTTTTATAAGTTCACTTGCAAAACCAGTTATTTTCTTCTATCCATTTTGTAGAAGATATGCTGATGATGACCATATTGTAGAAGCACAGTTATTTTTATGGAAGATGTTTATCTTCATTAAAACACTTATTATTTCTGAATGTTATTATTTGGTATAAATAAATTAATTGTTATTCCAACAAGAAGTATCTAATCATCAATGATACAGCAAATATTGCTAAAACAGATACATTGCAACATCAATGTTTCCCAGAGTTAAGGCAGTCATAAAAAAGAAATGCTTTTTAAATACTGACTTTTTTAACTTTGGTTAGCATGTTTTTTTTTATCTTGTAAGTTTTGTATTATTTATTCACATGATTTTTTTGGTAGGGGGGCATTTTAAATTATACAACAGATGCAGGGAGCACAAAAGAGGAAGTTTTCAGCTATAAAGTGCTATTTTACATTAGTTACCACCATTGGCTATACATTTTTGCCAGTGACAATGTTCATGCCTGACTGTATTCAAATCTAGTATTTGGTCTCTGTAAATATTTAGTAAATGTTAATGAGGTGTTATTTTTTTTTTCCACATGGATGGAATTCAATGATACACTTCTGTTTCATACACATTTTCATGTTAGATATAATTTTGCCAGACTACCACACCATTGCTATCCTTAACAATTCGAAGTAAAACCAAGCAAAAAAGAACAATTTCAACCCTCTCTTATATTATTCACTTCTATTCCTGTATTATTTGAAAATAGATATGTGTATTTACTTTTGTTATGTAGCTGTACATAAAATATTTTAATAAGATTATAATTTTTGGTAACATTTGTGATCAAATTTAATAATTATTTACTAACCTTCATTGCATTTTCGCCCTCGGAATCCGGGTGCACAACCAAATTCGCATGTACCATTGTTGCCAAAACAATTTCCTTGCAAGCACATTGGACTGCAAGTTTTTGTACATCCTCTTCCATACTTGTTATTTGGACATTCTGAAAAGAAAGAAAAAGAGCAAATGTATGATAATATAACAACTTTTTTTATGCATAGTGTAATTAAAATAACACATGAGCTGCATACAAAACTGAAGTAAGCCTGATTTATACAGCAATATTATTCTCATAATCCATATCTGTCATTAATGATAGGATAGCTTTTCAGTATAAAATCCAATTATAGAGAAAAGTAATCTTTGCAGCAGACAGAAACATGACAGATCTTTAATTTTAATCTTTTTTTCAGTTTGCAATGGATTTACTCACCAAATACTGTCATTAATATTTAAGTTGTATCTAATACTAATGAATCAATATCCAGTGTAGCACTTAAATGCAATTTGACAGAATCCATTTGAACATTAGGAATAAATTTATTGAAAACATATCATGTTTGGAGGAATCTTTTAAGCATTGAATGAAGAAATAGGTTCTTAAAAATGAAAGAAAAATAAATATTTTGAATATACCAAATGCCAAGATATGCCAAAAAAGTTGCATAATTATAAAAAAAATTAAACTAATAGTGATTGAGATTTATTAGTATACAACAAAAACAGAAGAAGATGCAGCTAATTCCTAATTTTAGAACAATTTTTATTTATTATGCATGCTGTCAATTAGTAACATCAAAACTTGAGCAATTCAGTGGTATCAATTTTTCATGAATGCTGTGCACTGATTTTATTAACAATATAATAAAAACCAATGCAACAAAGAAGAATTGGCAATCCTACCACCATAACAGATTCCTTGTGACTTTTCTATAAATATTTTCATGTTAATTGTTCTGATGAGCTTTCATCATTGATACCTAGACTTTAGGAATTTAATGCACAGTACTAAACTGTCAGCAAGGTCTTATCATTTTACACTTGAAATTGATAGCTGTAACCATAAGGTCTATAGTAAAAGTTTCTTCTCTCCAACTTCTTGTTTGTAAAACGCTCTTCTGGCCTCTTGCTCTCCAGTCAACATTGCATTTAAATTTTTGAATATCAATGTTAATTGTTATCTTCGGTCTTCTTAATTCCTGTTCTTTTATTGTATTCTATCACACTCAGTAAACCCCATCTTGGTTGTTTTTGCTTGAATCTTAGTAACTTTATTGCCTTACTTAGGGTGAAATGATTAAAAAAAATTAGTAGACTTATTTATATCGAAAAAAAAAAGAGCAAAAATATATTTCAGTTTGACAATGAAAATTTATGAGTCATGATAAAATTTCATTCTTATAGATATCATAAGCAATGTAATCTTTATATAGTGGAATATATTCAACAGAATGAACTGAATACAGAAGCTTACTGTGGTATGAACTTTACATCACCCTGGGTATGACGATAAACTACATCCAACAGCAATGACTGATTGGGAGGTTTTGAGGAACATGGAACAAACCTCTTAATTACTGTTGTTCCCAGGTTCACCTGTTTGGATCTCAGTTATAAGCAAATAGTTAGCCCCCAAAATGGGGGCAAAACATTATAAAAGTATAAAAATAGATTTTTATAGTAAAAATACCAGCAATACATTTGACAACAAAAACCATCTTTACAAAAATATGTCAATGAAATCTGATCTACGAACAGATTTCTTACAAAGAATACATATTCTATTCATGCAAATCTATCCTAAAAATTTTGTCAGCATTAAATAACCCATTGAGGTTAATATTCTGTAAAACAAAATAAACCAAACCACTTTACATGTGGTTGAATGAAGGCAAAGCACATAACTTGATTATACTATATATGAGGATCATAGAGTATTAACTATAAAAATGTATAACCAACTAGCCACAGTGGTTAGAAGAAAAATCAGTCAGTACAAGAGAGTAGATCTAAAAAAAAAAATATTCCTTCTTTTATCTGTAATCAGAGGTTGATGAAATGGGTTCTTTGTCTAAAAATGAAATCAATTGAATAAGGCAAGAACTCTCAATAACAATGACAGAATTGTAAGCAGTAATTTGAAATCCCTTAATAGTTATTGAGGTAGAAAGTAATGGGTTGATCAAAGAAAGTTTGTTTGCTTATTAAGTAGAAAATTTACTTTATAAACTGAACAAACATTTTAGCTGATAGAATTGAGCTCAAAATCTGGTTTCGTCTATTGTGTTCACTTTCACACAAATGCCCTTGGAAAAGGCAGGAATCAATCTCTTCTCCTTTCAGCTATATTGGTTAAACATAGATACTTGGGTGACAGTCACTCAAAATCACTCAACTTTCCCAAGAAATCATAGCAGTATCACAGGAATCTACCGTAGTTAACTACATCCTGAAAGGATATGGCATTAAAAAACCCAAAAAGTCATGCTATATTATGATCATTGGCTGTTTGTAAAATCTGTTTATTATAATAGGAAATAATAAAATTTTGACAATGAAAAAAAATGTTTATCAGAAAAGAGAAAAAAGGACTGCTAAAAATGATTAAGAGGAAAAAGTTTAACTGGAAACTTGGCAAAATTCAAGAAAAATTGAAATTGTGCAAGAAATAATCAAAAAATTAGCTGAATTATGATTGGAAGTTGACTGTGGTGAGTTAGGTACTGTAAGCCTATCAGTTTTATTTCACACTTGATCATAATTTGTATAAAAAACAGAACGTTTAATTACATTTATCTGCTAGAACAGATCACCTTAAAAAGACTGTTATACATATTTTTAAAATGTGATATCTTTTTTTTTTTTTTTTTTTTTTTAGTCATTCCACGTAAAGTAAGGTAATAAATCAACTAAGATGTAAGCAAGAAACCAGGAGAGTTTCACAAGTGATAAGTGTGAGAGAAGAAAATATTACCTTAGAGCTGATGGTTACATCTATCAATTTCAATGATAAAACCTAGCTGCCAATCTAGATCTTCAATGTGCTGTGTCCCTTAAATATGTGAGTGATCATGACTCACCACAGTTCTCTGTCTTTGTATCTCTTAAAAAAGGAGTTCTTGTAGTTTCCTTTCTATTTCTGCTATCAAAACTGTATCATCTGCATATATTATGACCATCAAGATTGTAGCCATCAATAATGAATCCTGGTATGACTTCAAATTCCCTCAGAATCACTTAAAGGTTAAATAACTCCAGTGAGAAAACATCCTTGTCTATTTGCTGAATTCATTTCTATTCTAATATCCTTCCCAAATATGTCTATCTAGCTTACCAAGAAGTTGTAACAAATTTTTCTGATGCATTTTATCAAACACTTTTGCATAGTAGTTTTATGCTTAAATTTGTGAAGTCAAGGTGCCAAAGAAGAAAGCTTATCAGAACAATCACCATAGAAATATTTATAGAAAAGATACAGGGAAGATATGTTATGGTGGTGGGAAAACAACTGAAACTGAAATGCCAGGTCAGGACTGATAACAATGCAGATTCTTCTTTGGATTCAGTCAATAATCTCTAGATATATAGCAGAAGCACCAGATCAGTGGCAGTAATATTCAATGCCCAGATGGATGGTAGACTTATATTAATTTCAATTCCAAAGAAAGGTGACAAGAATAAACAAGCTAGTGTAACTGCGCTGTCAAAAATGTCTAGTTTTAGTAGTGAGATACAATGAAACAAAAGTCTTAAAACAAAGCAAAAATAATGACTACAAAACTATATCAATGGTATCTATGATTCATTGGTATTATATAAATTGCATTTTGCTCAATTTCTTTTCATGTTAAAATTTTTATATGTTTCATATAACAGTGACATAGAAATATCTCTTAGAAGAAAAAGATTAGCAACAGAATGATAAAGACAGTAACAGCAAAGCCTATTTCAAGACCAAGTTGAAGCAAGAGAATCAGTTAATAGATAAAGGTATCTGAGTGCCTGACATGAAAGGCTTGAACAAATAAGACTGCAATCTAAGAAATGTAGGAGTAGAGGAACTGATTAATTAAATGGTTCATTTTGCTCGGGAACTAATTCTGTCTAAATGAAGATTTGTATAGATTATTAAAATGCCTAAAGGAAGTAATCACTCATAAATTTACTGACTTAAATTGATTTAACTCCCTTTCCATTGCAGATGGGACAGGAAATATATAAATAAATACACATTGATTATCATATGGCTAGATGACTGACTGATACTATGTTAAAAAATTTTTTCCACTAATAACATGTGCAACATATCTAATTAAAGTGTCATAAAAACAACAAAGATTATATTACTGCTATGAATTTTTCATTTAACTAAAATTTCCTAGTGGACATATTCTTATAATTAAACTGATATACAGAGGAAAACACTTATTGTGATTACTTTGGGACAGGGTATTTTTGATAACAATAACTAGCTTATAATATTAAATAAAGGATATAAAAATTAGAACAATTTACCTTCATTGTTATAAATAACTTTATATTATGAAAAAAAAAAATAGCTGGAACTTTGATTATAAAAGAAAGTGGATAATTTTGAATTTATTGTTTGGGAGTGACTAGTTTTGATAAGATTATCAAATGGTTATTGTTATCTGTGATTATAATAAAGAGCTTCCCCTGTATATCATATACTGGGAGTATTTTTCATTACCTATTGCAGCGAATATCACTTTTAAAATTTTGATTTGAATCATATATACTCACATCAGTCCTTGATATTATAGGTGCTTTGAAAATTTTATTAGCCTTTGTAAGATAAGAATTATTTGGTTTGAAATTCATCTTTTAACTTATAGCTTTAGTTTCATTTACTGCTTTTTTGATAAGCACAATTTCTTTCAAACATTTTTCAACTTTTGAAACACAAGCTAAAAATACATGTTGATTTTAATGGTAACATTGGGAGCCAATTATTTTCAAAAAAATAAAAAGAAGGAATTCTTAAACAAAAAATATGTAGATGCAAATAATACCTATGAGTAAACACTTTACTTTCGAGGATTTGATGTCTGAAGATAAAATTCATTACCCTCCAGCTGAAAACTAGTTTATTAATGTTATTTTTGTTGAAAGGAGTTTTTTAAACAGAAAAATTTGAAAGGA